GATGGGGTTATGTGTTTATTGTAAGTACTCCATATAAATGCCAAGATTGTTGCTTAAACTATGATAGGCCTATACAGTAGGTTACAGGACTCCAAAATCCAAGTCACAAAAATCTCCCTGAAATCTGTACTACTATTATACTTCCCACACAAATGTGACAATAAGCAAAACCTCGGACTGCCAACCAAGCCATCACCCTCTAAAGGCCAAATAAAAAAAAATGTACCTGTCAATTTATGTAGCATCACATCTTAACAAAACTTTAGCTGGGGAGGTGCATTTTTCATTTGTTTTTATTTTCAATATACTGTACGCTATAAATTATTCAAGCTTAATCCGGTATCAACATCATAAAGAAAGTAAATCAAAACAAAGGAAGTTGTTCCAAAAGTTAATTAATTTTCAATTCCATTCAAATTTAATCATTTCAATAGGCCTACAATAAATATTACACGTGGTTTGGTGAAACCAATTGTTTAATTAGTTTAAAATATTTTTATTATGAACTTTATACTGCAATTCTTAGCAAATTTTCGGCATAAATCCCGCCTTGGGTCGTAAATTCAGTGGGGTGGTGACACTAAACAATTTTTTTTTTTTTCGTCTAATTTGAATATTCGCATATTTTTATTAACCCTGTCAAAGTGTTCCCAAAGTCAGCTGGCCGTGGGTAAAGATGAATGTGTTTACGAAAGCTCGTTAAATCACACCCTGACGGAGCTTCTCTCAACTTGGGACCCCTGAGGCCTGCTCTGCAATAGAGTACAAAGTACTGTAATTGTAATAAGGCCATTTGCTATTGGTCGTTAGCAAAATTATGCAATGACAGCCATTAGAATCCTTCAAATTGCACTTGTAATTTTCAATCCATCATTAAAAAAAAAAAAAACACACACATTAGAAACACTTTGCAATAATTAGTCATAAAGTACAGTTCCTTATGACTGGAAATTAATTTTAAAATTTGCTATTCAAAATTTTCTTTTATGTCATAGCAGGGCAGGGCAGAGAGTAAGAAAGAGTAATTTTATGTCAGATTCTGCATGGAGTATATTTTAGCATGTGCCATGAATACATAATGGTAACTTTTATTGATTTTCTTCACTTTGCATTTTCTGATTCACTGTTATTACTCAGCATAATGTGTATTTGTAAATATGCAATACTGTTTCAATTAAATGGAAAGGTTGGTTAATTGTGTAGAGAAAAATTTCAGCTATGTCAAATTCATAAATGATTTATACTATAGATTCTTCTTTATTTACTGTAAATGGATGCAAACACACTGTATGTTTATACACAGAATCATTCATTAAATTAGCCATTTAGAGTGTGTTAATTTTATGAATAGGTTTATATCTAGCAATGGTATGGTATTCTCTTGGTGTTTTTGGTGGTCAGTTAGGATTTTTTTTGTTGAAAACCAAATTTTTCTCACTACAAAGCCATCTCCAATTAAGCTTCATAATGAGAGGTGCATTAATGTGTTAATTAGGACGATTTTCAATTAATTAGTAGAAAATCCTACTTACAGATATTGCCCTATTGTGTTTTATTATTGATTTAACTCACACAACTAGCAATAGCATGGACCTTACTGCTTAACATTGATATATTCTATTGTACATGAATTATGTTAAAACATCAGTTTTAATTTATGAAATTCGATTTTACATTGTCAATTTTTACGAATTACTGTATATTTGCTCTTGATGATATCATCATCATATTGACTAATGGTAAAATACATTTAAAAAAAGTCCGATTTCATACATTTTTCGAAGTGGTGTCTCATGAAAATTGATTAAAACATTAAAAAAATACATTTAAAAAAAATATAACATTGTTAAATGGGAGAATGCTAGCTACCGCAATACTTTTGATTTTTAAATGAAGGTAAATTTTAGCTAAAATTTTATATTCATGATTTTTATTTCAAGCTTGATTTTTAATTTGATACTCTTACAAGTACACCATCTTTGATGATCATTCCCATTCAAAATTTTAATCTAAACTGTCGCGGTCTTTTTTAATTGTTATTATACAAGTCAGATTATACTCTTGATGATTCATGCCTTTTATGCTTGTATGTCAAAGGTTAATTCAAAGTTGAATGATGTAATGAGGATTTAGTAAAGCTTCCTCTGTGTCATAATTGCAATTACTATCATAAAGATTGGAGTGATTAACTGATTGATCATCAAGTTATCATGCTGGTTGTTGAGATGAACTCAAAATACTGTTTGTTTTACTGTGTTAAAAAAATTTAATAGTAGTATGTTAGCCTACAGTGAGCCTACTTGAATAATATTTTCTCAAAAAATATTAACAAAAAATTTTTAGTAACATAATATAGTACTATAGCTCAAGACTATGTGTTTATCATAACTGATTTGGGGATAATTCCAATTTGAATATATGCTGTGGTTTATTATTTTATTTATTTCTTCTTTAACCTGGGTGGCCTGTTCAGTGTTGAACACTGCTCTCCCACAGGGCCCAGGATCAACAATAAAACTCTTAACTACCAACAGTTAAAAATTTAAAATAGCTTATAAAAAAAAAATATATATATATATATATATAAAACAAAATCATTTAATAAAGAATAGTTTATAGTTCACAACAAATATGTCGATAGAAAAATAACTAACTGCTATGAAATCGACTGCATAGACTCGCAAAGTGCTTAAAGTTGTACATTTAGAATTTATGCAGCGCTATTTCGTTGTGGATTAAAAATAGAATCATTTAAGCAACTTGTTGTTATGAAATCGACTACATAGGTTCAATTTACTATTGTTAAGTACAGTATACTGTAATTAGATGCCCTGAAATAGTCGTTAAACAGGGTTTTCTGTTTTTCCCAAAATGACTAACTTCCCTGGAATGGTATATTTTTATAATGCATGTGCTGTATACTTACAGTACATGCAATTGCTGCACAAACATTTTCATAATAAAACCTGTAAAAGTTCTTTTCAAAAATACTAAACATAAATAATAATACAAAGTTAATTAATATGCATGGAAGGTACAGCTATTAGTATGAAGTACCATAACTTAAAAAAAAATTATGAATTGATCAATGAATGCCAAAAGATTATACAACAGTAGGCATTAGAACTTAACAGCTGTTGTTCCAGGAATCGTTCCACAGAGGGACTGATACCCAGTGGGAGCATGTGATCAAGGATTACCCAGAACCACTCAGATGGGGTCAGGGGTAATATAATGCTCTCATCCTACTGCAGAAACGAATCGTGTTGTACTTTCTCATGGGAGGAACCAGCTTTTCCTTCCCCATTGGTGCCACCACTGAATTTTTTTATTTAATTCCAAAATTCAATGTTTCACACATTAAATAGGCCAAAGTTGCTGGGCGCATTGTGCAAAGGTCAATGAAGCTATGATGGATGTAAAGAATTAAGAAGGATAATAAAGTTGATTCATAAATAACCATTCCAAAATAATTATTTTGATGTACAGTACTCAGTAGTCATCAGGGGCTAATCTACTGGCATACGGGCTGTGAGACATTGAAAAAGTGGACTCAATATTTTATTATACAGTACTAGCACTGGCTTTATTGTACACAAGTTTCGCTGGAGGGAATAAATAGTACAAAACCATGTTGAGCATGTAGTCTAAATGCATGGCTTAGTACAGTAATAAGCTTGCAGTTATGCGCATGCAATGCCAAGCAGAGAACGTATAGGCTTTTGTTTAAAAACAAAATAATGTGTGTAGCCGCGTGCTCAAACTCATGACCTTTTTTGATTTAAAGAACGAAACATCCATTTAACTTCTGTGCCAAATGACACACTAGATAGAGTTTCACTTTAATTGAAAGATTCGACCTTAACAGCTCCATTCATTGAACAAAATTAGTTATTCAGTTGAAAGATTCAATTCATAATAATTGTATAAAAATACAAAGAAAAATATATAATTGAATCCAGTACATTTACAGAAATACTTGGCTAGAGTGTTGAAAGAGTTTAGCCTCAGACATCTTTTTTTTTTAATTATTCCTCTTCCATTGGTTTGAAACTATAAGCATAAATCAATCAATGAAAGAAATCTCCCAAGAAGCCCTGGCAATTTTTATTTTATTAGACCGTCAAATTTTACTACAGATGTATGATCTCCGGAACTCAGTATTCGGTACACTCCCTGAATGGCCTGTTTACATTTCAACCACTCTACCAGCTAGGAATGAAGTAGGAATGTCCTGTGTACTTTGGTACTTGGTTGATTCAGATTAAATAATTTTGATATGAAAAGAATGTATTGGTACGCAGCTATTCAGTACTGACCTCGTTGTCTTGCTCATGAAGCTACGAAAAAGGATAGACCAGATTCAACAAACCAGTATACTGTAGGTATCAGAGGGACACACTCTATCTAGAGCAGGGTTGACATAAGTGCAAAGAGTAGTTTTGACATTAGCAAACAAAACTCGGGCACATACAGTAATATTAAGTTACTTGAGTTGCTAGGAAATACTCTTAGAGCTGAGAACTCGCTGTGCCCGACGATCATCAGCCGACGCGATTCTATAAAGAACGCAACGCGGTAATGCTCATGAAATGGATCATTTTTTAATGACGGCCCGTTGAGACTGCTGCCGGTAATCAGCAGCCGGCGGAGTTGGATTTGACGACGGTCGTACCGGCTTTAGGGTCTCTTGCGCTTTCGTTAACCAGCAAAATATTTCACAAACTTTCCAACCCCCAATAAATTTACAATCTTAATTTAATTTTCTGTTATTGTCTCCACAAAATCAGCTGGTATGGCTATTACCGCATGCAGCTAAATTGTTGAGAAAGCTGTTACAACCAAATCTCTCATAAGTGCTTTCTCCCATCTGGGGACCACCTTGTCATCATCTGGGGACCCCGTGTCATCGTCTAAGGACCCCTTGTCATCATTTTGTAGGATACATTATTTTATTGAAAGTGTTAAAGAAAACATTTTTTTTTTTTGCTTGGTTTCAGATGGCTTCAGCATCAATGGATAACAAATGGCAGAAAGATGCCGCTGACCAGAACTTTGATTATATGTTCAAATTACTGATCATCGGTAACAGCAGCGTCGGCAAAACTTCATTTTTATTTCGGTATGCAGATGACACATTCACGTCGGCGTTCGTCAGTACCGTGGGAATAGATTTTAAAGTCAAAACAGTCTTCAGGAACGACAAAAGGGTGAAACTTCAGATATGGGTAAGGTTTAATGATCAATGAATTATCAGAAATCTTATAAATTTTTAAATATGTTAGACGTAATTATTATTCATAATGCATGGCGTGAGTGGTAGTATTATAACAATTTAAATAATTATTAATTATAAAAATTATAAAAATTTAATATTAATTTTTAAAATAATTTTTATATGATGAAAAACTACTATAATTAAGCAGAGAATCTCTGTACATCATCCATATTTGCCAATCTTTGAATCAGACAACCTTGATTGATTCTAGTACAGTAAGTGATAACACTAGTAAAATGGACTCCAGGTTAAGAGCCAGCTACACCAATATTGTAGCTTCCTTATGGTTAAATAATTTCATAATTCCATAGAGAAATGTTGTATATTGATGGTTAATGGTTATTAATTTATATAGAGCGCAAAATACAAAAAGTCTCTAAGCGCTATCAGGCAAGTGTAAAGATGGAACGGAAACCAAAACCACAAAATAAAAAGAAGTGAAATTTGAATACCATGCCAGCACCCAAACCGAAGTATGGGGAAAGTATGGGGATACGCACTCATCGCTGGCTGGGGTTCAATCTAAAGAAGAAAAAAAAAAAAAAAGAAAAGCTGTACAGTACTTACTGTACCATATTTATTTTAGCATCAATAGATCGAATTAGTCACCAACACAAAGCAGTTATATTGGGTATAACATCAAAACAAACCACTAGGTGGCATTGTTCTATTAAACACAATAATAATCCTCCACTCAAATAAAGTAAAAAACTTATTTATTTGTACATTTTATCATAAAATAACTTATCGAAAAGCCTTGGTAAATACTTGAATGTCAGAATTTTTTGACGCGTTAGATTTGAAATGGAGTGAAATAAACAGATGGAAAACTTGAACATGTTTGCAAAGCCTCGTCCTGCGAACACGGGCATAGCCATAGCTTGGGGAGTCAACAAACAACATTCTTTTGTCACATTGGCCATTGTAGTCAAAAGAAACATCTTATTGTACAATTCAGCAATTTAAGTTTGCCTTTATAGTTTAAATATTTCATAATACATATTTCAACAAAATGACTTGGTATTAACAGTATTATTTTTATGCTCAATATGTACCTCTAAATCAACAGAGATCGCCTGGTCAGCGCTAGATGTGGCAGTTCCCTAGGCCCCTCGAGAAGGCCTCTCAAAACACATATTTTTAGACTGAATGAAAGTGTAAATTTAAATCAACCATAGACACATGAATCTATGAATCATTCAAAGTGAATATGTGGTTGTAAAAAGCATCTGTATGCTATCTTCATTACATTTTAGACGATTTAATTAAACACCATTTTCGACTCCGCTCAATGCACTAGCATAGCTTTTTGTGGTTTGTTGACAAAATCATACCCACTCGGCTAAAATGTGATGATGTCATCTTTGGTGACTAATTCGGTCTATTAAATAGACATCCTACTCCAAACAAATTTCATGGAAGGATTTTTAAACACTATTAAGTGGCATTTCACCGATGGACCATTGACGGAGTAGACTTTGGATCACTAGCTATTTCGCAGATTTTCCAAACATCTTAATCGGCAAAAAGATATTTAATACAAAAAAGACATTTATAAGGATTAGCTACTTCTGTTTATCTGCCAACTGTCAAGCTTGTTAATACTATAATCTTTATTATGGACTAATGCACACTGGAGACTATCAATGTGATGTTTTTCAATCCATTATTGTTTTTGTTTATTCTTATTATGCAGACATACAGATAGGTGAGATTATATTAAGATTTTCCACAATAATGCTATACTTCAAAGGATTATGGAAGTTTATTAGAGGTCGCTCACTTAAGTCTTGGTGTGATGTTTTGGGTGGAGGGGGACCTCTACAGGTTCAACCTCAATCCAGAAATTGGTCTTGGATTTAAAAATAAAAAATTTGCATGTGATGCGTGTACAAAGTGGAAGTGGTGGCTTGGATCCCAACCTTGAGGTCAGGGGTTCGAAACTCTCGCTGTGCAAGTCGCTTGTATCCTTGGGCAAGGCACTTTGTCTACGTTTGTCTCTCTCTACCCAGGAGTATAAATGGGTACCTGGGAGGATGTTGTGGCATTGAATGTTCTAGTTTCGTACGCTAAAGTGGTAGCAAACGACTAGAGGTACTCCCCAGGGAGAAGAGAAAGTTGCACTTTGTGCTGGTTTGCCATTGTATGTTATACAGTGACCAGGGGTAATAACGCTCGCACCTTTGATCATTATATTGGAATTGGCGCCTTATAAATGTTTGAGTATTATAAGACAACCCCTGTTTTTTGGATTGTTTGCTTTTTTAAGCCTCATGCAAGAATATGATACAGTATGCACTACATAAATCTATGGCCATTAAATATATTGTATGTAGTAACACTTAACATAGGCAACTGTTATTTTAAAGATAAAAAAGGCCTCTGAAATTCTGTGTTTGAACAATTTGAGGGTACAATGTGAACCTGAGTTTGTGTCATCAGTTTCCTATTCTTCAAAATGACCAGCAAAAATTGTTGCCATATATTTTAATACCGTAAGGGTAAGAGCATTAAAACAAAATATGTCACAGTGGTTTTCCTAAAGAAAAAGAAGAGGCCCCGTAAATTTCTGTTTTAAAAAAGTTTTCCTCAAGATTGAAAACAGATTAACACCACATTTTTTTACTAATGTCTTCTTAATATTAAGTTCCACAAGTTAGAACAGAATCATCTTTACAATTTAGTACTGTACACCATGAATTGGAACACTATCATTTTGACTATTTAATTGTATTGCAGTAGAAAATAATCAATGAAAATACAGTACAAACATAATTTTTGCACTAAAAAGTAAAAATGAAAAATATGTGTGCAAGGCCTAAAAGGTATGAAGGCAAAGGTGATTACTGTTGTTAATATAATATTTGACCTGAAGCCAGATTTTACAAGAGAATTCACCTGTAGAAGTATAAATTTTTTTATAGACTTTCTAGTGTCATTGGTCGAGCATTATTTTGAGTGCACCTATTAATACTGCTATTCATTCAAATATTTGCTTTGGCAATTTCTATACATTTTGGATGTCAATGGTTGGTTTTGAACTCTGTGGTACAGAAAACCTTGTGGTATTCAAAACTTCAGCTGTTGCAGTCTGAGCACTAAACAATATCCATGATATTAGTACAGGTATCTAAAGCAATGTAAAATTGTAACAGAAAAAATAACACATCCTCTGAAGCTACCTAACTATTGGTATTTGTATGGATTTATTGACCACAATTATATGTGGTCATGTGATTAGGGCGAATGAAATAAATACCTAGTTTCACATTCTCCCACCTCCCCTATGAAAACATTTTGTAAAAATTGCTATTTTCCCAAAAAAAATATATATTAATTCTGCTAATCACCCCGGTGTAAGTGTTCACCTACTGTATCTCCTCTGGAACTGCTGGTAGGAATGTGCTCATATCTCATACACTGGGGTTTCTATATGTCATGACCATATTCTTTCACTTTTCAAGGCTTGATATTGGATAATAACGCAAAAAACAGCCAAAAACCACCGAAAATCTGTACCTGTTTCGCGAGTCGACTACGTCACGTAAGTCCCCTCTGTTCATCTGTAACACAATGCTCAGATTTAAAAAATATTGTGTCTGACCGTAAAAGAAACAGTCTGTCTTGCAGCTTCAATACGTCACCACGCATGCCACATGGGCACGTCAACAATATATCAACAGCATGTTCCCGCAAACCACCATGGAGTACCCGTTGTACAGTATAGTGAATATGTTATTACTATAGTCTTACAGTATATGCCTCAAAATCATCAGCAATAAATGGCATGGTTTACAGATAGATCCAGGTAAAAATAAATGTACGTCTGGGCACAAGGCATGATATTGTAAGCTAGGCCAAAAACCGCGTGCCTAATAATTTCGGCTAGGGCTACCCTAAGGTCAAGCCAGCTCCACCAATCAACCCCTCGAATTTATGAAAACATTTTGGATCATGAACAGGGGCGGATCCCCGTTTTGCCACTAAATTTGTGAAATTTCAATGGATATGTTTGTCCTACTCATATCTACAGTATTCTAAAGCTGTTGTTCCCCACTCCTCCCTCTCCCCCCCAGTTGAAAAATTCTGGATCCGCCCATCAGCAAACTAGACAATAATTCCTCAAGGGTTATTCAGGAAAGACATTCATCTACAAAGACATTATCTTAAGACGTCATTTAAAAAAATGACATGCTAACGACTTCCCATTCAACAATATACATCGCCACCTTTCCCCACTCACCCAACACCGTGCGGAGCAGGGGTATACAGTATGCTAGTATATATAAATTTTCCATGGAAAATAAAAATAATGAAATTCTGAAAGATTGTTCTCAAAGCCGCAGGCAAGGTGGAAACATAATGGCAAAGTAGTTATAGTATTACTAAGATTCATTTTACTTTAAAAAAAAAAAAGAGTAAATTATTACTAACCAGCTTGTTTACCAGTGCCACAAATATTGACTGCTCATGAGATTAATGGTAAAATGTATTGCCCCTAGTTGATGTGAACACCGTAGCCTATCTATGCTACAGTCTCTACATCACCGAGGAGCTATACGGTAGTTTCAACCATTCCCCGAAGCTACTAGTAGAGGAAAAAGGAAGGAAAACCAACAATGGGAACGTAATATTCTTATATAATGACATTTAAATGCATATCGGGCACTGTTCCTGAATATTTAACCAATTGTTACAAATTATTAATTGATGCCTACCCTAGCATAACAAGAAGTAAATTGAAAAACACTTTAGTCTTACCACAATAGTGAAATGGTTTTGGAAAAAGAATTTTTAAATATTGCTCAGTTAAATATAAAATAATTTATCATCAGACATTCGTAGCAATATTCATTCCCTTTCCTTACAATCCTTTAAAAATCTCATTTAATAATACCCATTTGTTTTTCTTTTCTGTTTTTTTTTTTTTTTTTTTTTAGTTTTATCATT